TGTTAAACTCTCAGATAAGATTCGTATTAAAGGGTTGATGAAACATACCGATGCACACAGTAGAATTCCAATGAATCCAGCGCGTACTATCAATCGATGGACGTGCAACTCAACACGTTTTTGGAACGATAGGTTTTGTTTTGCTGATGGGTCTGCGGACGCAGTAGCCTTTTCAGCTTCAAGAATGTTTTCCAACTCTTCCAGATCCTCGTCGTGTCTGTCGGAGAGTCTCGCGCCCTTAGCCATGAAATAGGGTGGTAGCTCGCCNAACCCTGATGAGAACGGTGGAGAAGCGACGATACACGAAATGGATAAGAATACATTAAAAGGCCCAAGACAATTGTCTGGCAATATGAAATTTTAATTAACTTATGTAAAAAGGCCCTATAGATACCGCATTACCAACTGAACGCTAAATCACTCACCCACCATTCCTATGCATCGAATAACCGATGTGAAATGTCCTTATTCTATCTAGAAGTAAATCTATGGGAATATCACAGTGTAATGCAGGGTAACTAACCTTTTTCGACGGTAAAATTGTTTGATTGGCATTGTCTACTCTTTTCAAACTTTTGGAAGAAGTTCGTTCCTGTGGCATACTTCATAAACCCAATCGATTTTCATTCAATTTCACTAACAGATTTGGCTGATACTCATTTGATCATTTTCTCTCTAGGTGTGTGGTTGCTTGCGGAAGATTTTACTGAAGAGTTCCACCAGTAGCTTGTGGTTGATTGATAGCGAATAATTGTTCTGCGATAGCTAACCGTTAAACTATTTCTTGTCTCTAGAGGATTGTGTAGCTCAACATCACCCTTGACTTAGAAGTCAGAACATTTAAAGATTCAATTACAGTGGCTGTTGTTACGGCACTGTCACTAGACGCATACTCTGCATAAAGTTGCGTTTGCCAGCCTGCTTCGCGGTCAGCTGAGTTGACGGCTCTTTGCAAGTCAAGGAACATTGCGATCGTTGGCCGACGGTGGGTGTGACGCAGCTCGAGGATCTAAGGCAACGTAAAAATCCGATGAATACATCCGCGGCCAGGCCGGAATCCCGCTTGTTGTTCACGGATGTTGGTCTCTCTTAAAGGCGTCAGACGTCGAAGTACAACCGAAGCTAGCACTTTGGTGACTATTGGGATCAAACTTACCCCGTGATGGTTTTCGCAATCGTTGCGGGATCCCTTCTTGAAAATGGGAACGATCAGTGATTCGCCCCAAGATGAAGGAATGTACTTTTGCATCCAAATGTTGTGCAGTAGGGTAGTAATAGAGGTTACCTCCCATCTTGCTACCTTTCCTCGCTTTAGAGCTTGAATGCAAGACCGAACCTCTGCTTCCGTTGGAGGATCGCACGACTCTGCCCTCCTCCTCCCGTATTGCGTGTCATTCGGAACAGTCTTTGACTATTCCCTGATGCAGCTGCTACTTTAGTTTCACTAGGTATTGTTGCCCACCAGTTCTCACGGCGGCGAACCATATAAGGCCTAACCTATCGGGGCCTTATGTGGTTCGCTACTCCAAATCCCGGGACTTAGGTTGCCGGTTACCATCACTGAACAGCAGGTCCTCGTGACTATGAGGTTCGCCCCGTCTGCTGTTCAACACACCTAGGTGTGTAATAAAAAAAGGCCCCGATAGGTTAGGCGTGGTATTGAACCGAACGACATCAAGGCTGTCTACCACCAAAGTTGGGTGGTGGTGATGGGGCTCNGTCCGTGCACCAGGGAACACCAGTCACGTGCGCAGAAAATCCCCTGGAGACCTAGCTTGTCTATATCCGATTTGATTGCATTAATCCACGTTTTCAGTTGGTCTCCGAGGCAGCATATCAAAATATGGTGCCAATTTTCCTTGTGAGTTCAGTTTCTGACCGGCGGAGGACATAACCGAACTACTAATGACGGCTTCCATAGACGACGTAGGATAGCTTCTCTCAGACCTCACAATAGTGACGGACGGTGGAGTGTGAAAGGTGGCCACATCACTTGATTTAAGTCATATATCAGAGGCATTAGTGGTCGAAACTTTCCAGGATTTTTTTGTCATCCACCTTAGTGGCCAAGTTTCTCAAGAGTATGTTAAGGCGGGCCGAACGGTGGCTCGATAAACGCGCAGCTTCGTGTGGAGGCAGCTACAGCGGTTTGCAAAGTTGTAGGAATGACTTGGCAGTTTGGTTGGATGGTAGAGCCTAGGTACTTGAATTGGCCTACCTTTACCAGTTTCACTGTTGACGTGGATGGGCCCTGACTGGTCTGAGGACGTTGTGAAGAACCTAGATGTTGAAGTATTCATCTTCAGACTGACGATTTCCACTTCATGGTCCATACGGTTAAGTACTGGCAGTAGACTATCAGGACCGTCACCTAAGATGATGTCGTCAGTAAAGTTGACGCTTGCTACCCAGGTTTCGTGACTTATTTGAATTCCTCGAAAATCGGTTAGAGCACGACGCAATACCCAGTATGCGGCGTACTTGAACGGGATCGGTGAAGGGGTGCAGTCCTGGCGGACGCCCAAGGCGAACAGAAATTCCGTCGACTCTTCCCCATAGGCGCGGACGCGGGCTCGCGTTGCGCAGTGGTGAGCTTACTAGCTTTATTTACTTCTCAGGCATCCCATCAGTATCTAACATGCTCCAAAGTTACCTTCTATTGACAGAGTCGAACGCAGCTTGAATTTACTGAAGCAAGTTGAGATTGACTGTTGGAATATGGGATTCGCTGCAGGGTGAAACTCTAGCGAAGCCAGTGGTTCGGACGTGTTCCTGTTTCATGTTCGGAAACACGGTGGTTGACCGGGATGGTCGTGAAAACTTACGCCGCCATTTTGATAAGGCTGGTACCCCTGTAGTTTGCGCAGATGGTCTTATCGCTCTTTGGAGTAGAATCAATGATGTTCGACAGAATGTATCACTTACGGGGTTCGAATGTCTGAATTTTGAAGTTTTGCAAAAAAATTGTTTTTGATATTCTGATTCGCATGTATAGAGTTCGGACGTTCAGTGCGATTACAGTCACGTTAGGCGTGTCTTGAAACCGGGTCACAATGATCCTCCACAAAATCGGTTCCAAAGAAACCAGAG